ATGACTACACCTGCAGTCAATCCAACAGGAAGCCTACTACAAAAGTTCTAATTAGTACTACATAGTACTGTAGATTTAGAATCTAACAATAATACTGTTTTATTATATCTAAAACTGAACGTCGCACTTTATTTCCACATAATTCTAATTAGGCAATAGGCGTGTCGACAGATTGAGTGCGTCGTTAAGTTTTTACTATAAAGCTACTAGGTCTATTTGATCCTCCATTCTCAAGGAAATTGTGAGAAGGATTGGTTTCTTGTCTAGCTACAAGAGAGAGAGAGAGAGAGAGAGAGAGAGAGAGAGAGAGAGAGAGAGAGAGAGAGAGAGAGAGAGAGAGAGAGGGGGGGGAGGGGTCTGAAAGAGAGTGAGAGACAGAGAGAGAGAGAGAGGGGGGGGGGGCAGAGAAGAATATCCGTATACGAATTGTCTTCATGGAGCTTCTTTTATGGCTAATTTTTCCTGTTTGAAGTACAGATTCTGTCGCAGTGCTTGCTCTCTAGTCACTAGCATAATAGGTCTTTCATTTATCAATTTCCTCCATGTTTTCCTGTCCTTGGTTATTTCTTGACATCTACTCCAAGCTTAGATAATCTGTTTTTGCAGATGTCTTTGTACCTCAGTTTTGACATTCTCCTTGGTCCCTTTCCCTGGGAAAGTTGTCCATAGAGAAATTGCTTCGGAATCCGGTTGTCGTCCATTCTCTTGACATGGCCCAGCCATCTCAATCTTCTTAAACACAGGATTATTCGTAGGGTTGATTCATTATGAGCGACAACAGCAGCATCACCGGCAAAGAAAAGGTCTCGTATTCTTGTTTGGTTTGTTGATTTTGGTCTTGGCTCCAAGTCGAGCAAAATTGAAAAGCGACCCATCAGTTCTCCAATGGAAGAAACTGAAATGCTTCTAACTCTAAAAAACATGGTTTAACTTGGTTGGAAGACTCTAGAAGTAATATGATTTTTTTAAAGCTCAACTAAACCTCATATAATGCATCCCCAACTAATGTATGGCCTAATTAAATAACACATTTTGCATAGAAAGTCATCAAGATAAGGTATGCCATAGCAGCATCCAGTGTCAACAGGAATGAATTATCCTCTTGTCCAAGCACCATTATGAGGCTTTAAAATGCTCTACCCAATGAAGCTAAAGCTCTGGCTGGCTAAAAATAAACTACATAAACCAAAACACAATACACTGCATATCAAATTAGACTTAACCGTGGGTTTTGACTTGCGCACTGGTGACGTACTCAATTCTAGATTGTCATAGAACTTGTGGTAGTCAGATGGCACAACAGACTTCATTTCTTGCATGTGTTATTAAAATTCTCTATGGACGAATTAAACTTTCTACCCTGGTACAGAGGCAGTCCCTTCATGTCTTTATGGAGAATGTCTGTGGACTCGCCACGCTTCAAAGGCAGATGTGACCAGTCATCATCAAATCTCAGTTTGTATTTAATTTGACCATCTGGTGTGTAAACTTTGGTTGGTTAGTTTGATTAAATCAGAAAAGATACAATGAGTCAAATACTTGACTACATATGGCTTCACTTTCCTACTTTCTTCCATTTGCCTGACATAATCAGCTGGGTAGTAGATGTGCTGTGAGCACTGTCCAACTCCATCTGTGTATAGCCCTTCTCCAGGAATTTTAATGTTACAGTTTTACCATTGACAGAGCTGAAATGTAACAGTGCAGAACTCATTGTGACTTTGCAGTTCTGATACAACCACATTCATCTGAATATAATGATCTGGAGTCAAATCAGATGACAAAAAATCAGCCACACAAGGAGCAAATTTATTTGCAGTCAGAGCACCTTCGCATCCATTTGAGACATAACATACACAGTCCTTGCTCTCTAGTTCCTATACTGTGAAATTGTATACATTCAATTTCGTCTTGTAGTACAAAGCAGAAGCATTGGTGCGTGGATATAGCAGAACTGATTGCTGGTCCATTTTGATGTACATGTATTTGATTTTGGGGCTGCCCATGCATTTTTCCTTGTCTATTGTCATTTTTGTATGCCCCCTCTTCCACATTTCCCTCCTCAAAGCCCACACAAAGATCACACCTATCTTTTCGAGGATGGAACCATGACAAGTTCTTAGCATTGATCTTCTCTTTAAACTTGAAGGTAGAAAGTACCCCCCCCCCCCCACTCATACTTTTCTTTATACAAACGGCGGTACACTGCCTGTAAGCTCTGGAAAACAGGTTCCAAGTATAACTTATTGGAGTCCCTCGGCAATACTGAGACGGCAAATTGGGCAGATCACGAAGAAACTGTTTAAGTACCTTTGATGCTGTAGTCTCCTCCCTAACCCTTTTTCTCTGAACTGGAACCTCACCCTCTGCTACACCCAACCCACATGTGAGAACAATGTGAACACATTAGTAACAAAGTACAGGACTTAAGAAGAAAGCCGTGCACTCTTTGACTCTGGCCCCATTCACTCGCAGATGGTACTTCATGGACCACGATCTTCTGCTTTCTCTCTCCTTTTTCTCCACAGGCTCGACACAGTCAACCAACCCTTTAACAAAAGCAACCTTTTCTGATTTTACATTTATTTAAAATCAAACGCCTCCATCAGAGCAAAACTTTACCGCCGTGATCCCCAGTGGCAAGCTACCTAAACGAGTTAGACGGTTAGAATTCTTCAGTCACCGAAGCCAGTCGGAATATACGGTTAGAATTTCTCTTTAAAACAAGACTTTTGTTTGTTAAAATTGTTCTAGATTTTAATAGGACGTAGCCATTCGTCATGTCGATCTATTTTAAGGAAAAAAGAATTTTATTTATAATCAAACGCCTCCTTCAGAGCGTAACGTTAACGCCGTGATCCACAATGGCGGACTACCTAAACGAGATAGACGGTTAGAATTCTTCAGTCACGGAAGTCAGTCGGAATATACGGTTAGAATTTCTCTTTAAAACATGGCTTTTGTTTGTCAAAATTGTTCTAGATTTTAATAGGACGTAGCCATTCGTTATGTCAATCTATTTTAAGGAAAAAAGCAATTCGAGAAAATTTGGAGTTAGACGGTTAGAATTCTCTGCCGACGATATGTAGGTTTTTTAAAAAGTCGCTGTTGTTGTGTTTGTATTTGTTTTGTTTTTGTAGAGGCTGGTGATACTGTTGTTACATCATACTATTGTTGCTGCTGCTGTTATTGCTGCTGTTGTTGCTATTGCTTTTGATGTTGTTGTCATAGTTTCCTTCGTGTTGGCAAAGTTGTCGCTGTCGACCTATAATAAATGATAGTCTTTTTTGTGGCATGACGTACGATCTGAAAGCAATATTATGCATGATACAACTTTTCCTGAGCAGTACAAATAGACAAAGTACCTTATCCAAGTACTTCTTCTCTCCTTTCAGATCTTGATTAGTTTGATATGCTCCAAATGAGAGAAATTATTACCAATACGTTGCAATCAAGGAACGTATACGGGTACGTTTTGATATAGTTACAGGTGTGATAGGGATATTTCTCGTGGCAGGAAATATAGAATTTAGAATTTTGCCCGAGTGGTGGCCTTTTCAACCTCCAAGGCATCTCTTTAAATTGTGCAACAGTCACACGGGACCTGCAAGATTTTCCATCCTTGTCTGAGAGGACTAGATGCTCAATCTTGCTTACCCTAAGACCAGAGGAGTGGAAAAAATTAAACAAGGAGTGAGAAGGGTTTTTTGCCTTTTCTTTTTTCTTTGGGTTTTTCTTTTTAATTATCTTTATACGTGTGTCAGTGTGTGTAAATGTGTGTCTGTCTGTCTGTCTGTCTGTCTGTCTGTCTGTCTGTCTGTCTGTCTGTTTGTCTGTCTGTCTGTCAGTCTGTCTGTCTCGTTCTCGCTCTCTCTCTCCCTCTCTCTCTGTCTCTCTGTATCTCTGTCTCTCTGCATGTATATGTACGTTTGTGCGTGTGTATGAGTGTGTTTGAGTGTGTGTGTGTTTGAGTGTGTGTGTGTGTGT